TAGGCTGCGGCTCCTGTGGCAGTGGGTTGCCATGGGCTACCGTGTGTAGCCAGCAGCCAGCGTGAGTGGCTAGCAGCCACCATGAACAGCCGTCCAGAAGCAACGTCCTCCACAATTAGACTGAAGAACAAAACGACAGCAACTTGTCTGTTCCCCTTCTCCCAATTCCCTAGCACTGTTCCCATCCCCCCAATTCCCCAATAAAAATCTTAAAAAAAAAAAAAACAGTTCCTAAGTTAATGAATGAATCAGTTACAGGAGATGCTATGTCAGGAGCTAGGTCCTGTGCTGGCTGAGCTCTTAGAACTCTTTCCTTCAATCCTTTAGTGACCCCATGAAGAAGTTTGGCTGTCCCTATTTTGTTGAGCATTCTTAAATAGATTCAAATAGGAGAAGTCATCGTCACAGCTATGTTAGGGGCCAGGACCACCCCCAGGATTGGTGCTTTACTAGGAGGCCTTACTTGCAGGTCTCAGCATTTGGTTGTACGCATGTCATGCGCCATCCCAGCGAAAGGACACAGCACAGTCAGCAAAGGGGAGGAGTATGGGGTGAAGTCCAGGGGAGTCCTGTGTAGTTTCTAGAGTCCTTTCCCCGTGGAATCACAAGGACACTTAATTCCCCCAGGACTGAGGTATGACAACACGTGAAATATTGTCTGCCTGGGAAGCTAGCTCATTAGAGACTGAGCGCCCAGGATTTTTACTGGGGGCTGGTCACACAGGCACCCCCTGTCTGGAACATACCAACATTCTAGACTCCCAGAAGGAAAGCAGGTGTTCAGCAGAACAGCTTAGGCCAGTTAGGAGCTTAGGCACAGGGAGTGCCTCTTATTAGTTAGGGAATGCTGGGCACCCTCCTGAAATCCAGGTTCCCAGGCAGGCCTTCCCAAGGAGAGCAGTCATCCTGCTGTGTTAACCCTTTTTGCCAGGCTGTGACCTCCAGCATCGAACAGTAAGCAGATGCCACAGCCGAGACTCCCATTGGGACCTGGGTATCTCCAGGGCCACAGCATCCCAGCGCCGCATCAGTGTCACCCCATCCCAACTGACTCATTTTCCTTTCTCTAGCTCCTCAATTCTTTTCCCAAAACAGAAGAATTTATTCCAAAGATGATAAAAATACAAGATTACACACTGGAAACTATCAGTTGATGTAATTTTGTCACATTGGGACAGATTTTCTCCAAATTGTATTCAATGCATGCTATTGAGGTAGCTTAGGGGAGGTCCGATCGCAGTATCTCTTCTATTTTTAAACTCCAGGACACAGTAGAAATGCGTTTCCTTTGACTCCCATGCACACATCTGTGTGTATACATGAGGAGGGTATTCGTTTCCTGTGACTCCTACAAATGCCACAAATGTAGTGGCTTAAAATAACACACATTTATTCTCTTACAGTCAGAAGTTTGAAATGGGTCTGACTGGGATTAAATCAAGGTGTTGGCAGGGCTGTTTCCTCCTGGAGGCTCCAGGGGGAGTCTGTTTCCTTGCTCCTTTTTTAGCTTCTAGAAGCTGCCTGTATTGCTTGGCTCATGGCCCCTTCCTTAATCTCCAAAGTCAGCAATGGCCTTTCCTCCACCATAGCATGTATCCCTGGATTATGACTGTGCTCCTTTCCTTGAGGAAGTCTGTGGGTTCTGGGACCCTGACACCTTCCATCACAGGGCCTGGCTCATGGAGGTCTCAGGCAATGTGTGGTCCACAGGTGAATGGTCAAAGGCTGAGTAAGTACGGGCTTCTCCTGGCAAACTGCTCATCCCTTGAACCATTGCAAGTCCTTTGTGTCCCCAGCCCAGCTGTCACAGCTTTGATCATGATCACCCTGGATTGTGACTATCTGGGTCCCTTTCTTCCACTGGACTGGGAACTCTGCAGGGTAGGAGTCCCTGGAGTTGCCAGTGCAGCATCTGGCCCCCAGGAGTGTGTGCTGCAGAAAGCATTGAGTAGTCAGGACAGCCAGAAGGTTCCTTCTGAGTGGCTGGATGGCCTCCATGTTCTGGTTGGTGACAGTGCTGTTCTCTCCCTGCAGATCCCGCCCCCAGATCCAATCTGATCTCCCATCCAGATGGTGGGGAAGAGCTGGAAGCCTTGGTGAGAGGAAGTCCAGAGGTGACAGGCCCTGGTGAGTGGGCATGGAGGGGCCACCAACATCTTGGGGGAGGGTGATAGGGTCCTGGGGCGTGGCCTGTGTGTGCCCTCCATCCTCAGAACCTCCATCCACACCCAGTATGCCTACTCAGCCACTGGGACCCCTGGCTCTGGGCTTCACTCTTCCACACGCTGGCTTCTGTCCCCTCGCCCCAACGGATCAGGACCGTCATTCTGCATGCCCACATTGTCTTTGTCTGTTCAGCATTTAGCATGTGACTGTCCTGGTGCTTTTCCTCTGTCCCCTCCTGGTCCTTCCATACTCAGCAGGGGGAGGCCTTCCATTCTTCAAGTTGGTCTCTCCATCTTTCTGCCTTTTGCCCCCTGAGCACCCAGGTAGATGTCGTGGTCTATCTGTTTCACCTTCCTCTGTACAGGCCTAGCCCCCCTTTCTGGCCCATGGAGCAGGACAGCAGATGGTCACGTCTGTTAGTAACTCAAGCCTGGGCCTAAATGCTGCCAAGGGCATTGACTCTGCCACAGTTCCCCAGAGGAATCAGGTTAAGCAGTGAGGATTCCTGATGTGACACTGGTCAAGCAGTCTCTACTGGGAAAGCAGAGGCAGGGCCTTGCTGGGAGCATAGGAGGCTTTATTCATGGTTTGATCATTAACATGAGGAGAAAGGCCCCTGAACCAGAAACCATGGAATGATGGCTGCACAGCTCGGTCAGCCTCCGCCCCACCTGGTCAGCGTGCAGCTCCATTCACCTCTCAGAAGTTCGTGAGCATGGGCCCTCTGCAGCCTCTTGATCAATACACCACTACTTTCATGTAGGTGACTAACCCAGGAAGAGAATCCTGTAGCCTCGGATTTCTGTTTCTGCTACCTCAATATATAGGCTATTCACAAGCATGTAAAGCCACGGCTTTACTAACAAGCAAATGTGTCCTCCATGGCGGCAATCATATGGCATTATCATTTATATCTCATGCCCCCTTGAACAGTGCATTTTTAGGAAGTAGGCCTTAGCTGATGAGGGTGATGGTGGAGAGCATCTGCCAAAAAGTCACCCCTTCCTTGTGGAGGCCCTGTGGTTGTCCACTCCCATCTTAACCCTCCTGGACATGGGCTCATTGTTTCCTGTGATGCCAGTGCTCCCTGGATCACCACTTTGGCCTCTTTTCCTTTGTCCCCATGACAGAGAGGCTTGACTCAGGACCCATCCCCCATTCTCCCTCTTGTCTGTGTCCTCACCCTACAGCTCCTTTTCACCCTTTTGTACTTTCCCTCTCTTGCAGACATGGCTCAGGCCAAGAACTCTCCCCTGCTGCAGGACTTCTCAGGAGAAGGACTCTCCCAGGAGATTATGGAGACGATTTCCAAGGATGGCTTCTGGAACTCCAACTTGGAAGAAGCCTACATGGACGAGAGCTGGTTAGATAGTTTGCTAGGAGACCCAGAAAGTCTTCTGAGATCTGACATTGTCACCAACATGGAAAGTCCCACAGAGTGCAAGAGTCATGAACTCAAGAGTGGCTTCAGTCCTCGGTCCCTCCTTTTCACAGGAGAGGATTCTGTGATCCATGATCTTCCTGAAGAAAGCCCGATGCCAGCTAAGTCTCAGGAATGTAGGAATGACTTTGGCAACCACTCAGACCAGAGTCAGCAGGATGCTGTCCAGGGAGGCGAGAAACCATATAAGTGTAGTGAATGTGAGAAGAGCTTCAGCTGCATTTGCCATCTTATCCAGCACTGGATTATTCATATGAGAGAGAAACCCACTGTGAATGCAGAGTATGAGAATGGTTTTGACCAGAGTTCGTGCCTTTTTGTGTATCCAGCGACTCACACAGGTTACAGATCCTATGTATGTAACAAACATGGGAAAACTTTTAGTCAAAATACACACCTTCTGTGGTATCAGAATAGTCACACTGGAGAAAAACCACAGAAGAGTCATGACAATGACCGTCCATCAGGTCACGGCTCACAGCCTGTGGAGCAGCAGAAAACCCACACAGGTGGTAAATCCTACAAGTGTAATGAGTGTGGCAGGAGTTTCAGCCGAATCTTTGGTCTTACTCAGCATCAGAAGACCCACACTCGGAAACGTTATGAATGTGCCAAATGCAAGGCAACCTTCAACTTTCGCAAATACCTCCTGCATCATCAAAAAATTCATGCTGCAAAAGCTACCTTTGAGTGTCAGGAATGTGGGAAGGCCTTTCAGCAGAGCTCAGCACTCATCAAACACCAGTCTGCTCACACTGGAGACACAACGTACAAGTGTGATGAGTGTGGGAAATCCTTCAGCCATATCTTGACCCTAAAGAGCCACCTGAGGGTTCACAACAGAGAGAAGTCTTACAAATGCAATGAATGTGGGAAAGCCTTCTACCGGAGCACTCACCTTAATGAACATCAGAGGATTCACACGGGTTACAGGCCCCACAAATGTCACAAATGCGTCAAGAGCTTCAGCCGGCCCTCCCACCTGACTCGACACCAGTCCGTTCATGCCACAGAAAAGCGCTACAGTTGTACCGAATGCAAGAAGACCTTCAGCCATAATGAACACCTTGTTCAACACCAGAAAATACATGCTACAGAAACCCGCTACGAATGTCAAGAGTGTGGTGAGCGCTTCATTTGCAGCGTGACCCTAACATGCCACCAGAGCATTCACACCCAAGAAAAACAAGGACTTGATGAGAGCAGGATCTTGAATCAAAACTTAGACCAGAAAGAGCAACCAGGGATCCACGAGAAGCACTTTAAGTGTAACAAATGCGAGAAAACCTTCAGCTGCAGCAAATACTTGACTCAGCACGAGAGGATTCACACCAGGGAGAAGCCCTTTGAGTGTAACCAGTGTGGCAAAGCCTTTGGCCAAAGTATGCAGCTTATTCGCCACCAGACCATCCACTCTGGAGTGAGGCCATATCAATGTGGGGACTGTGGAAAGGGCTTCAACCGCAGTACTTCCCTCACCAAACATCAGTGCATCCACAAGAGTGAGCACCCCTTTAAGTGTAATGAATGTGGAAAGACATTCAGCCAAAGTGCATGTCTCTCAGAACATCAGTTAATTCACACTGCAGAGAAATCCTTTAAATGTAACCAATGTGACAAAGTCTTTGTGCACAATAACTACCTTATCCAGCATCAGAGAACTCATGCCAAAGAGAAGGCCTTTGAGTGTAAGGAATGTGGGAAGACATTTCATCACAGCGGGCACCTTTCCAAGCATCGGAGAGTTCACACAGGTGAGCAACCCTATAAATGCAGTGATTGTGGGAAAACCTTCAGCCTGAGTGCTCCATTCATTCGACACCGGAGAGTTCATACTGGAGAAAAGCCTTACATTTGTCAGGAATGCGGGAAAGCCTTCAGCCAGAGCTCGTGCCTTTCTGTTCATCGGAGAGTTCACACCGGGGAGAAGCCCTTTGTGTGTGCTGAATGTGGGAAAGCCTTTTCCCAGAAAGCAAATCTGAGGCAGCATGAGAGAACTCACACTGGGGAGAAGCCTTACATCTGTGATGTGTGTGGGAAAGCCTTTGCTCTCAGCGCCCATCTCAGTCAGCATCAGAAAATTCACACCCAAGAGAAACCATATTGATGTCAACACTGTCAGAAAGCCTTTCCCTGCTACTTAAATCTACTCCGACATCAGCAAGTTCACACTAAAAATAAGAAGTAGCAATACTACACGTGACCATTGGGTGGCAGCAGGGTCCTCGACATCTGAGAACATCATCTGAGGCCTAAAGTTGAAGCTATCACTTTGTAAGCGCCCCCACACATACCCGGCAAAATAGATAAATATCTTTATTAATAAAAATTGGAAAATTTGCACACAATTTTCATGAAAACACGAAGCTGTGTAGCCTCCAAATTCAGAGGTAGACTCTGGAGCCAGTCTGCTGAGGTGAATCCTAGCTCTGCCATCTGCTACCTAAGTAATCTAGGGAGAGTCATGGAACTTCTCAGGGACTCAATGTCTTCACCTATAAAACAGGCACAATAATAGTTACCTACCTCAGAGGGCTGTTGTGAGGATAAGTAAATAGATGTAAAGCACTTAGAACTGAGTGCCCCTCACATAGTAAGTACTCACCAAGCATGAGCTACACTTAGGCATCAGATCCAACAGAAATATATTCTTTTATGTTAAAAGGAAGAGAATTAGCAATGCTCTACTTACTACACTTAATGTTCTTAACTAATATTATACATGGTTTTAATTTTTTAAGTTTTTCTCCAACATACCCTTGGCTTAATTCAATTCCCCAAACCTTAACCTTTTTTTTATTTTTTATTTTTATTTATTTATTTATTTTTTTAGCTGAGCCATCCTGCCACCTGTTGGCAGCTCAGCGGCTGCTCAGCTTGGGCTGGACTCGAACCGCTGTTGCCTAGAGCTCAAACTCTTGAACGAGCTCTTAACCCACTGAGCCACTCGGCCGGCCCCCCTTAACCTTTTTTTAAAAAAATAATTGTTTTATTTTTCAATTAGTTATATTATTAACCTTAATCTTTTAATAAAAAGTCTAGCCTTTCCCTTCCCTCCTTTCTGCTCTGTCCTAGTATTTTCTTAACCCACAGAAAGCCAAGGGGACCACATAAACTAACATCAAATGACTAAAACTTGCCATTCCTAACCTCCCAAACCTCTGACTCAAAAGAACTCCCTCCAACATACACATGCCACCTTTTCCCATAATCTTGCCCTATTTAAAGTTGTTGGTTATATAGTATGAGACCCAGTTTGTCATGGGAGTTAACAATACTGGAAACAGCTGGATTCAGTTAGGAGAGCTGCACTGGATGTTGCCACACAGCTAACATGATCTATACAGATGAGCTTGGTGGTGAAAATTGTGATATATGGTAACAATGGCTAGAACGTTCCTCATTTACCATTTGTCCAAGCTGGCTACTCACCAGATGCTTTGCTAGGTGCTAGGATAGAAGCTGGAATCCAAGGAAAATGGATGGCCCCATCTTCATAGAGGAGTGCTGTTGACAACTGACATCTTAAAGTGCCCCATTCTCTCATGTCACAGCAAGTTCTGGGGTCACCAAGGATAGTTGGAAGCCCAGTGAGGAAACAGGGCTTCCTGTTGGAGCCCTCAAGTCAACCACTCACCTTGGCCAGTCCTGTTCTACAGCCTAGACTCGCCTTATGGAACCTCACACCCTGCTTCCTCTTTCTTTATGGCACCTTTACAGCTCTGGGCTTTCGTGTCCCACTCTAAGCAACTCAGTCACCCGTTTGCTGAAGTACAAACAATCTTATGAAGACACTAGACACACACTTCAAATGTCTTTCATATTTTTGGCGCTAAAATAGTTTAGGAGTATGTGCCTTGGGCTTTTGAAATCTTGCATCTTGAGTTCTGTTTTGTTTATTTTATTGTTGAAATCAGGAACTTAATGGCTGACCACTGGGCCCACAGCACAGCAGAGAGATACTGGTTTTCTAATGGCTGAAAGGTTCAACTCCCTGCTCTTGGTCCCTGCCCTTGGAAATGAGTCTAATCTGGGCAACAGGGCTGTTCTATACCAAAGTGGTGTACAAAGTGTCACAGGGTGGGGCAGAGGTGGGAACTCAAATTGAGAAGTGTGTTCAATGAGACCCTGTAGTAAATCAGCAGCCAGTAGCAAGGGGAGCAGTCTGTAACTAATGACCTGTGTTGCTGTGGGCCAGTATAGAAACACCCTTCATGTATGCATGTTGGTTCTCTGATTAAAGTTTTGAGTCTAAAAGTGTTGGTTCCTTCTCTCAGCCTGGTGCCACACACCTGGCCGGATGCTGGGCATAGACTCCCTGCCTGCCAAGTGCTCACATTCTAGTGGGGAGGGCTTGCACTGGTGAAAAACATACCCTAAGAGGGCAGTTAAGTCTGTTATCACAAAGTGGACGGGACATGGACCACAGAGGAACCACACAATTTCAGATACACCACCAAACCACTTTTCCGTTCTAGTGCAATCCTAGTTAATTAAGGAAAAAGTGTGGACAGCACTGTGTTTACTCAAATTACAAAGACACAGCAGGCCTCACGCTCAGGCAATAATTTTAGCTAGAATTTAGTATTCTGCTCTTGGCATTTATTTTCACTCCCCTTCTTCCCCCTTTTTTTCTTTTACTGACAAAATGATACTGGTTTCCCAGTCATGGTACTGGTAGAAAG